AGTCTTGCCTGGACATCCAGGTATGCTCTGTCGGGCAGGGAAGGTCAGTCGTGTCACAAAGAGGACATAAAATGGGAGTGAGGAAAAAGAAGAAATGTCAGGCAAGTGCATGATTTATTCCAACATTTCAATCAAGACTTTTTAAAGGACTATATCGGGCGGCTGAGTGTGTACAATGGCCAGGCTAACAGCTTTCTCAGGACATCTTGGGAAATGTGACATCTAAGCCCTGCCTGATGCTGGGGAGAGGGCAGCTTTAGGGCTCATGTGCTGACCTGCTACAGGTGTGGAGGAGTCTTGTAACAGTGGGAAACGTGTGTAGGCTCCCCTCCCAGCTACGTGGTTGAAAGGCGCATTGACCAGAGATACTTTTTCCATTCAAACTTCCTGTTTTCAAAGTTAGTTTAAGGAAAACTTCTGCCTATATCGTAGCTACCCATCAATGACTGTTAATGACTGAAACTGCAAATTTGGAAAATATCATACTGTGTATCAAGGGACTAAAGGTCAGGACACATAAAAAATATACAACAAAGAACCAGAGCTTTGGTTGGAGAAAACCAACATAGGTTCAGGACTTGCTAAGGATGTTTCCCTGAACTGACTGTGGGCTTGGGCTCCTCTTCTGTGGGTGGCATTCATGTTAGAGGGTCATCTCTCCTGGGGACGGTATGTGTATATGTGTCTAGCCCTTAACTGTTGGGGGGCTATCTTGTGACTCCATTGGGTCACTTAACCCATTTTGGAAGGGGTGGGTTGCTCTCTCCACTCCTGACTGCTTGTCTCAGTCTGCGAACTGAGTCCTGGAGTTGGATGGGGGAGATGGGGTGGAAGTAGACCCTCCCCTTCCTGCAGAGAGGGCTGCAGCAGCTCTTGGGAGGAGCAAGGCATTATGGGTAGGAAGCCTCCGGCACAGGGCGGGAGCAACAGCAGCCCTGGCCACTGGCCTTCCAACAGTCTGCTGTCTGAGCAGCTGTTTAATCCCCTCTTCATCTGTGTCCACAAGGGGCTGGAGCCTTCTCCAATCCCCAGAATTCTTGGGCCTCCTGGCTCTCAGAGGAACCTTACTGCCCTTGGGCCCCCAAACCCATTTTAATTAGTAGCAAGTAGCTCTAATTGTTCTTCAAACTGTTAGTGGCCTCTGGTTCTGGCCAGCAATGGCTGGGTCAGTGCTTGAAGGGAAGTGGAGGGGAGGAGAATTTACACACATGGCTTATTTGGTTAAGAGAGGCAGTTGGGTTAGTCACAGTGATTCCTTAGAGCAGCAACATGAGAGAAATCCAAGAGATTTATGAAGCTCGATTCAACCTGTCTCCAGCTCCTACACAGTCCTGGCTGACTCAGGGCTAGAAGCAATCCCCCTCCACGGGAGAGAGGGCTGTGAACTGCAAACCCAAAGCTGCTCCTCCTATATCCCAGCTCCTGCCGTGAAATGCGCTTGTGCCCCAAACCCCTTCCCAGGCCCCAGCTGTCATCTTCCCTCTTCCAAAGACACAGACCACGTTCCAAGCCACTAACTTGCGTGCTAACACAGTCCATATCTAAGGCTTTCCTGAGCACAAGGCCTCTCACTTCTGTGTTCTTCCCAAGAAAATGGCAGAATTGTTTGTGGCGAGTGTGGCCGGAATCCTGCTCACCGCTTGCCCCACCTCCCGTTCCTCTTGTTCCACCCTCCAGATCCCCATCAAAGTGATTTAAAAAATGTTTAATTAACTTGAGCTCACTTTAAAAGGTTAGGAAACTGGCAGGGATCCAAATCCACGTTATGCAGGTGATGTCGTTAATTTAATTTGCTTTTCGTGCAGTAAGCTGGATAATTACTCAGTAGTTACTGGCAAAAATGTTTTCTTTTCACTGAAAGATGGAGTCTGGCTGTTTGACTACTCAAACCCCATTGGCCAACCCCTAGCGAGCCCCAGGGAGCTCAGCAACCCACAAGGTCATCTTGCAGGACCTTCAGGAGTGGCCCGGGTTCCCATCCCCTGCCCCAGGCTTGGCAGAAGTCCAGTCTCCTTGCCTCCATCCCCTGGGACGGGCACAGTACAAGATCACCTTCCAGTTTCCCACACTCTTGATTGTATTTCAAGACAGAGAAAGATGAAGGTGGGGAAGATATAGAAATAGAATCCAAAGAACCAAAATCAAAGACAAAAAAAAGAAAGGAACCAGAAAAGGTGGGGGTCATGATTAAATGCAGGAGAAAGGGAAGAGAGGAGATGAAAAGACTAGGTTTTTTGCCCCCACCCCCCCCTTAAAAGGGGTCCGGAAAGACAGATGTTGATGTGATGAGACAGGCATGCACGCACATGTATGACCAGTGCACATACATGTACGGACACGCCGGCAGGGTGGAGACACATGGCAGAGACGGTAATACCTCAGAGTGAGATGGCAACGAAAGCACCTGCTCAATGGTATCCATTTGTAAAGGCCGTTGCAATCAAAGGTCCCTAAAATTGCACAATTGTTAAGGTCATCAGTGCACTATACACGGGAACAGATTGTCATATTCTGGAAAAGGAAATTATCTCTAGGACTAGTCTGCGGTTGCCAGCATGAATATGTAATTCTGAGACACTGTGCCATGGCGGGCCAGGATAATATTCTTCTTAGGTCCAATCCCTTCTGCCCCCACGTCCCCCACCCAAGCTTGTCTGCTTACCCAGGGAAGCCAAAAGCCAGATTCAGTGCATGGTGGCAAAGGGGGCCTCATACCCAGAATGATGGGCACGGTTACCCTGACCCCAAAAGGCAAAGATAAGGGTTTCTGTCCATAATCTCAATGGCTTGAGCTAGGGAGAAATCCTGGTGCAAACAAACTGCAATGATATGTGGTTATTTCAGAAAAAAACATCAAAGCACACAGCTCTAAGGACCCAGGTATTCAAGAATGAATAGGGTCTATGTTTCTGGACACTGGTAATATAAATGAGTTGTATTTTAGGTGGGGAGGGATGGTCCTCCAAATTGATGCAGCTCATAGCTGAAAAATAATGTTCTGGATTTGGTGCTGCAGTTGCTCCAAAGAGATCAGATGCCTCAACTACTGACACGAGATGCTGTCACGCCGGTGCAACTGAACAGGACCTAGGTAGCACAGGTCAGCGCTGGCAGGAGCACACGGATCTGTCTGAGCGTGTATACATGAGTGTGTATCTGTGTGTGTGTCTGGGGAGGGTACTTCCAATGCCAGGAGGCATGGATGAGGCCACCTTGGTACTCCAGGCTGTCCACACAGGCTTGGTTCTCCACAGCACAGCCCTCAGGACAGAGCAGGCGGCAGCTCTCTCCCAGATTCGGAGTCTGACAGGGCCAGGACCTGGGACAGCAGACAACTCTCATCTCAGCTCCAAACCAAACTATCCCCCAAGTGCTGAGGTTGGCTAGGGCAGAGGTTGGCTGGTTTTCTGTTTTCAAAATGGAAGGGACAGGGCGCAAGTGGGCTCAGGCACATTCATGCTCACACACCGGGAGGGAGAACAATACAATCTGAAAACAGCATGCAAATCGGTTAAGCAAATTTCCATTGCCTGGATTAGTCAGATTATAGAACCACAGAGCATTACAAATACAAATGCATCTGGCCTTCAGGGGGCTGCAGCTAAAGAATGCAATGGGACTTACTTGGAACCTGGAAACTGTAAGAAACGTTAACAAAGGAAACCACCTGGGAGGGGGGTCCCTTCACCCACCCACATAGACTGAGGCGACTCTGCTGGCTAAGGCTGTTACCCTGAGGTGAAGGGGATGGCATTATATTGAGGACCTCCCATGTGCCGACATGTGATATACACTATTTCTGTTTATTTTAACCTAATCTTTTGAGGAAGCCTTCCTGTTCTCCTTTTGCAGCCAAGGACAGGAGGCTCAGACAGGCTATGGAGGTAGCCCAAGATTGTCAGGGCTGAAGGTGGTAGAGTGGTGACATGAACTTGAGCTGCCCACACACCTTCCATTCCATGACCAGGCCACCCAGGAAGGGCTCAGAACACACCTAGAAGGAAGAGCTTCAGCCTTGGGAGCTGTTGTGATGTGGTGGGGACCCACTCATCTCTCCTCTGCCCCTAGTACTGGACTTTCCTCCCCATGGGCTTCACAGAGTTGGTCAGGAGGCAGGAGGGCAGGGAGGCAGGTACTTACAGCTATGCCGTGGCCGAAGCCTGAGCCCGGCTGTGGGCTGGCCGCACTTATGTAATTCCCCACTCCGGAGTCCTGGCTGGCAGGGCCGTAGAGATCAGCGACAGGTCCTGGGCTGTTGGCCCCCGGGAAGCCTCCGGGCCGCGCCGGGTTGGAGCCTGCCGGGGAAGCGGGCGCGCCAAAATTCGGTTGAGCACTGTAGCTATTCAGGACTGGTGTGCAGAGAATAGAGCTGGGTATGAGGCCAGAAGCCAGGCATGCACCGATCATTACAAGCCAAACACTCGAGAAAAACAGCTGAGGCCCAACTTCTAACACTCAACCAAGGCCATGCGAAAACATCAGCAGGGACTCAAGAATACTCAGCCCAGGCTACTACTAAGAAGCTTGGAGCTCCAAAAATAGAGAGAAGAAAAAAACAATCATTCAACACACTACAGCAACCAACCGGAGGTGCTTTACTGCCCACCAAATTATCACAATAGAAATAGAAATATATATGGAGGAGAGAGAGAGAGAGAGTTTTTTTTCACATCTGAATTGACGCTCATGCAGTCTTCTAGATTTGGGCACGTTGAGACAGCATTCACATCCCATGCAAACTACAAAGGAACTAGTTTTAGACTACACATTGTGTTAATATTGATATTAAAACGTGACAGGAAACAAAGCAATTCGTGTCCAGGAAAAAAAATAATCTTTGGGGAAGGGATTTTAAAAATTTCTTTTTCTTTTTTGGTGTGTGTGTTTCATTTTTTAAAAATTGTTGTTCTTTTTTGTTTTTGGATCCATTAAATGACGAATTTGTTTTTTGTTTTTTTTTCAAAGACAAAAAAGATCTCCATTCTGCATCCCTCCCCCAGCCTCCCCCACCCTGCTGGCTACTCCCTCCCTCCCCACCCCTCCGTTTTTTGTCCCTGCATGGAAGTCATCGATACTGAAGTGGTCGGAGGATGGGATATGTCATGGAAAGTTCGGGCAACTTCACGGAACAGTAATGATGGCGGCAGAGGGTTCCCTTCTGGGGTGGAGAGCAGGGGATGGAGGGAGGGGATGGGGGGGGATGGTAACCTGAGGTGGGGCCAAAGCTGGGTGAAGCCAGTGGTCCTACAGAACATCCACACACTCACCTCCTGCAGTAGAAGGAAAGGGGGGATTTAAAACTTTTTTCCTTTTGTTTAAAAAAAAAACACAAGGAAGTATGAATGCAGAGTATACTGACTGAAGCAATTTATAGCTAAAGCGTCTCTGATAGAAAGGCCCCGTTTGTGTTACTTTACCCTCAGATGTAAACTCCAGATTAAGAAGAAAGCTCAGAATGCACCTTCGCCTCAAAGGGGAGACTTGACACCCACAAAGCCAGAGGGGTGGTGTTGCACCTTGGGGAAGGGGGAGGTGGGAGGTGACACTGTCGCAGGACCTCTGCCTCCGCCAGATCTCAGCGTGCCCTTCCCAGTAAGGGCCACCACCTGCCACCCAGGTTTTGTGTCGTTATTTCCCCTCTGTAGTTTCAACTTTATTTTCTTTTCCAAAATGGGAAAAGTTTTTTTTAATTGGCAAAGTTAGCTCTCTCTGGTTTTTAAACCACAGGGCAAGTTTGGGGCTAGTCCCTCTGGGGTGACAGCTAGCCCCAGCTTGAAGGGGAAGGCATCACACACTTGCAGGCCACTGCTTCCTCTTCCTCCCTCCTCTGCCCTGGGACAGCTGCCTTACGATGACAGAAGGGAAGAATATTCCCTATGGAAGCTTGCCTGGAGGCCTGCGGTTGGAGGCTCTCACCAAGAGCCACGAGTGCAGTGATTTTTTACCCACTTGCCACAGGGGTGAGAAGACACTGAGATGCACCACACCAGGCTGGCAGAAGACTGAACGGGGACTGAAGATATAAAAGGAGACCAAAGCAAGCTGGGCCTGGCTCCTGACTCAGCAGAGAAAGCAGAAAGTGCTGCCTCTGGATGCCCATGGGGCAGGAAGCCCCAAGGTGAGTCCCTAAGAAGCTATAGCCCCAGATGAATAAACAGCCAAGGAGAGAGCAGGCTAAAGGGAAAAATGAAAACAAAAAGTACAGAGGCTTATAGCAAGCGAATGGCTTATTTGCGAATGTGCCGGTAGACAAGGGGATGCGGAGGTCTGAATATAGAAGATTAAACTTGCGGATAACACTTGGCTCTTCTCACACATAGAGATAGGTACCAAGCAGAGGTATTCAAAAGGCAGTTATTATCTTGGTCAAAAGGCGGTATTATCTTGGTCAAACATACACCTTTCTCTTCTGGGCTCAGGAAAATGAGAAGAGCTCAGACTGGATTCCTGGTTTACACAGGCAGTGAATCCCCCCACCCCCTACCAAGGAACAAACTAACCTGTTCTGTTTCGGGGTGAAAGGGTGGGGTGGAAACAGAGGCACAGTGGGAGACAGAGAGAAAGCTCTTCCAGCTTCTTTCTCCTCTGGAGGGATGTGGATCCAATGCAACTTTGGGCAGGCCTACCTACTCAGCGGTAGGGAGAAGGAGGCTTTTGGCTGTGGCTCTTTTTAGCTGGGTGAGCTCCCTAGAGAATAGCCCAGCCAGAGGAAGTTGCCTGGAGACAGATGTAGCACACCCAAGGAAGGATGCTGTCCATGGATGCCTAGCTTCCCCGGCTTTAGAAAGCAAGAGAATTCTGTGTTGTTCCCGCTCCTGGCAACCTCTCCTTTCCTGTGTGTGCAGAGGCCCAGAGCCTGAGAGTTGGCCTGCAGGGAACTGCACAATCAGAGCTCATCTGGGGCGTGTATCAACCCTCCCCGCTCAGTCATCTCCCACCAAATGACACTAAAATCACTGTGGAGAAGGCTGCATTAGAATACAGACTAAAAAACCCAAGTCCTGCTTTATTATGCACTTGCTCATCACAATGCCTGAATCCCAGCTCGAAGTCACCTTGCAAATGCTGCCCAGCCAGGGGCTGAAGACGCAGCTGCTTGGTACCCACCAGAGGGTGCAGTGGGCAGGCAGGAAGCGCCCAGTTCTGGGTTGGTCCCTTCTCCAGGGGCAGGGTGTCTGCACCCTTAAGTGCTGGGACCCAAAGGAGAGATGGGAGAAATCTCTCCGAGCTCCACAGGCTACACCTGCCTCTGTCTCTCTCTGTGGCACAACCATGCTCCAGGGCATGTTCAAGTCCTCGAACAAGGCATCCGCACATATGTGCATCTCTGGGAAGACTCAAAAAAAACCAACGGCTCTGGCTGCTCAGGAGCTAATGGGGACAGACACTTGGTACACACTTGTCAGTACTTGTTCCTGCCATTGGGCAGTGGATGGGCGTTGGGGACGAAGTAATTGTCTTCTTTGGGGGACTCAGTATAACCCCTGGTATGGAACACAGGCTGGCTCCATGGTAAAGGGGTTATCTGAAGAACCCCTCTTCCTCTATGCTGTGAGTGGCAGGGAGAGAGCATGGAGCCACGCCCTTGAAGGTGCTCTCTGAGGTCATCTCCCTTCAATTCTCACACATCTGTCTTACGTGGAGGTGCCCTTCCCTAGACCCCCAAGACAGTCCAGAAACCATCCCATATGCCAGGATCAGGTCAGAAGAGGGGAAGGCACGGCCTTCATGGGCAAAGTCACCTTGTCTACTGCTAGGTAAGGGTGTGGCGGGGGGCAAGGAAGTAAACATTGTTGAATAAACATTGCTTAATTTTGTAAATTGGGTATTACGATGCTTTTTCCAGAAAAGGGCAATGTTTTGTCAACAGCTTGGCATTTCTGTAACAGCAGCTGTGCTAAGTGGCTTAACACAAGCCCTGTATGAGGCTGGAGGTCTGGGGGCTCATCTTGGTGAGCAGGCTCATTTCTCCATCAGGAGTCCTGGGTAGGACCATAGCATCGGCTTAATCTCAGGTAGGTTCCTACTTATCCCATGCCCCTACTTCCCAGCATCCTCTGGGCTTCTCCACTCCAGGCAGTGCTCTAGGAGGAGGCCATAGTGTAGCGAAAGGGGGCACTGGACCTGGACTCAGAAGACCTGCACGTGACCATGGCCCCGTATAACTGTGCTCTTTGTTCCAGCCTTCTGGCCCAGGCCCTTATCTGTAACACCTGAGGGATGTCTCCCTCATTCAGCCTGACTTGGGGCTGCTGCAAGAATGAAAATGAGAAAGTCCTCTGTGACTTGCCAAGCATAAAACAGATACACCTATTTTGGAAATAGTAGTGTATGCAGAGCCCAAGGAGGAAGGTACCACAGGTAGAGTTAGGGAAACCTGATATGGGGAAATGCAATCTCGCCATACAAATCAGGTGATTTACGAAAGGATCCAATTCATCCCCTTGGCGCATTTAATCATCCCGGACCTGAAGAAAGGACTCTCAAGATGGGGGAGGGGAAGCAGAAAAACAAGGATATTAAATCTCATGGGGGACAACGTGAGAAAATCATTTAAATGAAAGGTGGAGCAATTTTACATTATACAAAAGGAGGAACTTCCTGCCTACCATTAAAGCACCTGGATAGCTGACTTGGGAAAGCAAACAAATCTTATCCTGGAGACCTTGAGGGGAGACCAGTACTGTAGGCTTAGACCTGCACCTGTAGGTGTTAGACCAAAGCTCATGAGCATCTTTCCCCAGGATTCTGAAATGAGACAGGGATATGCCTGCGATTGCCTGGTACATGCGGGTCTGCCCAGATGCGGTCAGAGGGTGCTGGCTGAGTGTGGAATGAGTCTCTAAGGGGGACCTCATTATAGGTCTAGGGAAAATACAGAGGCATAGTTAGGTATGTTATTGCTGTACCGTCTGTATGTGATGTCCCTGAACCTTAGGCATAAAGCTAGAGCCTACAGTCATAAAGGCAGCACCCCTCAGAGGGGAAGCCCAGCTCTGAGGTCTGGAAACAAGATTATTACTTATCTAGAGAAAGTGAATGGTGACGAAAATCCCTCGCACACTACCTCAGCCCACATGTCTGGGGAAGCTAGGGATCCTCTGAGTTCCAGCCTCCTGCTTTGGAGGGTCTCACATTTCCCCAGAGGGCAGGGCCAGCCCTCAGGACAATTTCAATCATTTGCTTTGTGAGTCATCAGACGCTGCCAGGTTTCTTTAAAGGTGGGGGACCCTGGTTGCCCCTGGAACACATCTAGGAAAAAACCTCTTCCCTCCTTGGTCAGCCCGTGCTGTGCAGGGCAAGGCATAACCGAGAGTGAGCCACTGCCCTACTCCCTTCAGAAGGCAAAGCGCTGCCAAACAAAAGCAGCTCCACTGTGTTATTTCTGCGCCAAGGGGAAGGGAGTCTGCGCTGACTGGTGTGTCCCAGCCTTTGCTCCGGGCCCCTAGCTCCCAACAGAGTGGAGGACTGAGTGCAGGGAGGTCACACGCCTATGCGACAGTCTTTGAGGGTCGTGGCTGTGTGAATCTCTCCTGCTGGGTTTTAGGGAGCTTTGTTTGTTTTAGAGAAATTAAAGAGACTAATTAAAGTTCTTGTCTCCTCCAACACTCACCTCTACTCTCATCTTCTCTGAATCATGCTTCTGCGTCTGCCTTGGCCAGAATCCCACAGGGACAGGACTGTCTGGCCATTAGCAATGAACTCCTCAAGGCAGGCTATATGGAGATGCCAGGTTCTGTTGGTTCTCTTGGGGCCCTCTGTCCCCAACGACGGCACCTTCTCTACAGCAAGAGTCACCTTTCTCTCTTCCCCGACAGCCTTGCACACTCAGGGGACGCTGCTGAGTCTACAGTGCCAGCTGGCTGTGCACAGAGATGGCAGGAGTCCCTTTCAGCATCAGCCTCTCCTTCCACAGTGCTCTGAGGAACGACCACTGGGAAGCCCAGGGCTTACTTAGGGAACAGTCGGGGAACTCACTCTGCATCCTCCTTACTGTGTCCTCTGAAGGTCGATGGGCAAATGGGAAAGGTCAGTGTAGACAGATAAACCTGCTTCTGATTCCAGGAGGACACTCAGTGGAGCAGAACAAGGCAGACTCTGCCTGGGTAGCAGGTTTCAGGGATCTCTGGCTCACACGTTGCTTCTAGAGCTTAGGCTTATGGAAAGAGCGACTGCTAGAGCAGGCCAGCAATCTGTCCAGCCTGGGGAAATGGTACGACATGCTGAATTAAAAACACATCTGGTCAGGAACCCAGATGCAGGGACAATCGGATTTTATGCACAACGTAGGTATTTAAAGCTCTGGTGAAATTTAGGCAAATTCAGAAGAGAAGGGCAGAGGACATTCAAATGGATGGAGGGTTAAGAGTACAAGGTGCTTTTTCTTTTCATTGTCTCCATACGTGAACAGGTATATTACAGAGAACAAACTCATTCCAAGCTCAACGTACCAGAGAGACCCAGCGCATCTTCAGCACTGCATGGGAACTGTGATGAGCATTCGCTCACTCACTAGCTGCCAGGACAGTCGAGTCCCGGGATGTTCCAAGCATCGGTTCCAATGGTACCAGTCTTAGAAGACTGCAGTTTCTCTCAAACTTGACCCTGCCCCAGGCCCCCATGGTTGGTGCTGATGCCTGCTGATGAATGCTGGTGTGTCTCAGGTAGGGAATGGGTGGGCTGGAGAACCCCAGCTTGTGACTAATGGTTTCGGACGACGGTCTTCATTTCACACTTGCCCAAACCTTCGAGAGATAAACTTCACTACTGGCCAGTGATATCCACGCCCTGTACACCCCAGGACTATGTTAGTGGTAACTGGGAATTCTCAGTACCATTGAGACCAATGGGAGAACTGTCCAAAATGGACCCATCTGAAGACGACTTTGTGGCCAGGACACTGCACTTCATGTTGAGATACAATCTTCTCTTTCCAGCTTGGTGCTTTTGTAACCAGTCTTGATCAGGGTCTGAGTGTGCTTACGCAGGACCAGGCTGAGAGGGCTCTGGGGGGGCTGGTTGGAAAGGTGGGTGAAGGGAAGATGGTAATGAGTGGCCGATGGCCTTCTGCTCAGGATGCTATCCTGGGGGTGCAGCAGCTGTGAGTGGGCCTGATAGCCAAACAAGTTTTTGTCACGAGGACAAAGACATTTTTTGCTCTGTGGTCAGGTTCCCATTTTTCTTCAAACCCTCAGGGACCAAGCTTATTTGTAAGTTTCTAAGGGAAAGGGACAGGGGTTCTGGGAAGGGAGAGGCCATGACTCTAGTCATGGAAGCAACTCCTTCTCTCTTGAGCAGTTCGGTGGCTGGAAGACAACCACAGTTCAATCCTGAGAATGTCCCTTGCATTTAACCTGGTGGCTGGTTTTGTCCTTGAGGCACATTTATCCCTCTAACTTTTCAAAAAAAGAAACCAGGCTGATGTGATGGCACATGCCCGTAATCCCAGCTACTCAGAAGGCTGAGGCAGGAGGATGGCAGGTTGAAAGTCCGCCTGGGAAACGTAGTGAGACTTTGTCTCAAAAAGGCGGGTAAGGGGAGCTGAAGGTATAGCTCAGTGGTACAGTACTTGCCTAGCGTGCAAGAGGTGCTGGTTTTGATTCCTAGTATGGCCAAAAAACAAAAACCAAAAAAACAGTGTGGCTTTTCCCTACGCGTTCCCAGCCACCTTCTTGTTCTGCTGCACTGCTGTGTGCCTGCTGGTTACTTCCCGCCCTGCAGGGCACCACCCAGCTAGCAGGGTCAGATCCTTGCTTGTGTCTTTTAAATGATTCCACTTCCTATGGGACCAGCGTATAATTTCCGCACTACAAACTCGTTAAAACACTATGAAATGCAAGACCACAGGTTTAAAAGGTGGCCTCATGTGCTATTCTCAGTCAAGAGGAAAAGCTATGTAAGAATCAGGCATCACCCTGTCCCTGTCACGGAATGTGGGCAGCGGGATGCCACTTACTAGCGGGGAGGAAGACAGGTGAAAGGGAATGAAGCAAGAGGTACAAAGTTCTGGAAGCGGTGGCTTTGGAGGGTGCCGGGCTGGGAAGGCATCGCAGACCAGCTCAGCTGCTGAGCATTGCCCAGGGCAGGTATTTAACCCCATCCATGTTCATGCACCCAGCAACGTAGAAGAGGGTCTTTATGACTCCTGTGTTACAGCTGAGGAAACGAAGGGTCCGGGCAGCTAGGGAAGGTGTCCAGTGTCACTGAGAGTCCCAGAGAGTGCTGAGCCCAGTTCCAGCGTGAAGGCACATATATTACACAGCCCCGCTGTTCTTCCCTGATTCATAGACAAGGTTTCCTTTGTGTAGCTGGGTCTTTCTTTGCTCAAAAGAAATAGCAAATTCGAGGATAAGGAATCTACTCTCTAACCTTGGAATGGAAACTGCCCAGGTCTTGGACCCTGTTCCCCTCCTTTCCCAACAAGAAAATCTGCTGGTGCAGGTATTTCCCCCACAGACTGGGGGCTCCTGAGGTTGGGTGGTATCTGCCACTTGAGATAGAGGACTTTGTCTCCCCAGAGGACTAGGACGCCCCCCTGTCCCCTTCCCCCCAGTTGTGTCACATTTCAAAAAAAAAGGAGCCTTGCAGCACAAGGCAGGCAGACAGTTGGTATTAGTGGAAGAGGGCACTGCCAGAGAAAACCATGCATGCCCTGGCCAAGTCTGGGCCCTTATTGGACACCCCCACCCAAGGTGCTGGACCCAATGGGGTACCCAGTGGGCGAAGCTCAGTCTCAGAAGACCACTCCACTCTGCAGAGGACGAGCTTACGGGTACTAGGACACCCGAGGGCTGACTGGCATTTAGTGCCCGGTCACATCTAACAGCAACGCGCTGCCAGCTGGGGGCTGGGATGCAGGGGGTCCCCAGGGGGTGGCCCCTAGAGGACCTGTACAAAAGGCTTTCCACTTGAGCAGCCTGTCTTTAATGATTATAAAGGCACAGGAGTTTAATCCATTTTTGATGTAAGCGCTAATAGCTCTGTGTCCTTGAAGTTCAAAGCGGGTGCATACATGTCACTAATTAGCCAAGCACGGAGCTATTCAGCTCCCTCTCATGTTCCTAATTAGGTCTTTAATAACAAACAAACTCTGACCTTACCAAAAGGCCCCCATTCGTCAGACAGTCAAGGAAAGTGGCTGCTGGCCTGTTTACGGTTGCTGCCCACTTGTGCTATGTGTACAGGTTCCTAATCTCAGCCACGACAGGGTTGTCCTCGAGGGAGGCAGGAGAGTCACTCCATGAGGACAAAGACCCCCTTCATCTCATCTGGAATGCTCGTCTTCCTTGTCCTGCTGGGAAAGACAGCCGAGACCTTTCGGCTTCCAACTGCAGGACAGCAGTCACAGACCCAGGCTGGAAACCTCACCTGGCTTTTGGTAGCGGAGGCTGGGATGCCATCGACGGTCACAGATGGTGTGAAGCTCTATATGCAGCAAGAACAGAACAGCACTTAAGCCTATGGTTACATATTGGACTTGCTTGAGGCCCATCTTGCCAGGTTCTGATTTGATGGGTTTGCAGGGTTTAAACACTCCTCAGGTGATTCTAACATGCAGCAAAGTTCACAGGTACTGCATTGACCCCAATCTCATCAGCAGCTATTAACAGGTCCACTGTTACTAATGAATAGTATCCACAAACAGCCAAATCCTTCAATCATCCACACTGAAGAATGGGAATCTGATGACAGATTGTACAAACGATAAACAATTCCGGAAATACTTCATGCCCCCTACTGCTTCATGCATTAAGCACTGAATAACTGACTGGCTTCAAATGTATCCCCACCAAGTTTTTTTACCACTTGGAAGTGCCTGGCTTTCTCTCCACTTGCTCCTCTCTCTCAGCTCTTAAGCCACTGTCATTGTCACTGCTTCAAGCTCCAAGGACAAGAGATCAAGAGCTTTGGAAACAGCAGCTATACAGAGCTGTGAACTTCAATGGTCCCCCTAGACCCTCTAGTCTGAAGTTCTCTTTTGGTAGAGAAGGAAGCAGGCCTGGAACCAAGTCTTCTAATTACTGACTCATTCTCCTATGCACTTATGCTGCCTCTGTTTTTTTAAAGAGCATTTTCTTATCCTTATTAGATTAAGCCACAAGGCATTCTCATAGGGAAAAGGATAGAAGAAAAGCCTCTCAGCTCTTTTGGCCTTGAAGGCCCGGATGTGGGAGTGGAGGCCATCCCTGAGCATAGTATCCCCCATCATTTCTAAGCCTGAACTAAATGTCCTCTTCAAGACACGCAGAAGAGAGGCACTGAAATCTTGGCAGGGGAGCTATTTCAGCGGAAGGTTAAGACTGTATACAGAAAAACATGGTCAAGGACACATGGCAAAGCTGGACTAAGGGTGTCCTCCAACACTGGTCCATTTGTCTGGTTTTGCTACTGTGCTTCAGGTCTTCAGTGTATCCTGAATCCCGCGTGTGTCTGATCTGAGTTCTCCCCAAGGCCAGGAAAGCTATCCTCTCCAGGTTACAGTCAGGAAAACTTCCAGAAAGAGGAGAAAGCCAGGCTGGGAAGTAGGGCTGGGCTGCTTTCCCTAACTACATCGGCCTCTATCACAGGAGCCCAGGTTTGCCTTGTTTATCACAGACCTGGACAGACCATTTTATTAATATTAATAAGTAGCTAGAACAAAGGGCCCCTTTTATTTTTAGCTTTCTCTAATTGTGTAGTAATTACTCATCTACAAAACAAATGAGCCTCTGCTCACAGTTGCCATGGTTCCAGGAACCCAGCCTTCCTGCAGGATGATTGGATGAGGAGCTCACTGCTCTAGCCTGTGGACCCACCCCTCCCTCTGCCATTGGTCCAAAGCAAAGCCCCAGCAACTAGGCAGCCAATCCCCTTCCAGTGCTAGGGCTGAGCTTTGTTTCCCAGCAACCTTTCAGATGCAGTTCTGGCAGCTCACAGGAAGGGATGTTGACTCCTCCCCAAGGAGCAAGCCTGTCTTTGCAGAAGCCCTCCCTTGCTCCATTTCCTAGTTTCTTTTGGGCAGTGGCTAACTTCCTTTGATCCTGTTTTAGCAAAAGTTTCCCTTCAAATAATTCATTTTGGATCAAAACCCTTACAGGCTACTATCCTCTCTAAGCCAGTTTCTAAATCTTCAAAACGGGAACCCGAATGATAGCACCCACTTCACAGGGTTATTGAGAATTAAATGGGATAATGCAGGTCAGCTTGGTACAGTATTTGGCTCGCTCATAGCACATGAGTTACTATTGATGTATTACTATTATCATGAGTTTATTAAAATTGGCTGGGAAGTGTCTCTAGCATTCTGTCAACCACTCTCAAGATAACTTGCCCTGAAGGGACCTTCCAGGTGAGTGAATTTTGAGATGCTGGCTGGAGGCCTTCTATCCCATGCCATGGAGTAGAATTCACTGTTGCATCTTCTGACAGACCTAATCCCAACAGCCAATCACAACTACTCAAAAAGTACTATTTGCTTGCCTCTTCTTCTGCAAGATCCCAAGCTAGAAAGGAGAGACTTTTTAATATTAATAAGCATCCAGGAACAAAGGGCCCTTTTATTTTCTGTGTTCTCCAACTGCGTAGTAATTATTCATCTGCACGAAGAATGAGAACCAGGCTGACTTTACCTCCTGAAGGACTAACGGTTTGTAGTGTTGGGGAAAGCTGGTGCCACCCAGAAATAAATGTAAAGTGTCTTCCAAGGACTTATAGCCCCAAGGACAGGGTGCCCCAGGTAGAGTTAAGCAGGTGTGACTTCCTCAGTCTGAGCTAGATTTAAGGGAGGAAGCAAAGACAAGGGCGGAGGGGAAGAGACGGGCAGAAAGGATGAGGTCAGTGGTTGCCATGAGGGCAAAGGACTCGGAACCAACAGCCCCCCACAGGGAATGACTAACAACTTGTCGGCAGAAGCAAAGGACAGGCCGTGGAAAACCAAGCTGCAGCCCCATGGTGGAATGCTCTTCTGTGCCTGTCTTCTTGCTGCCTCGTTCCTTGTTCTAGGTCATAAACGTGGCTTCAGATCCTTGGTTCAAGGAGGTCAAGCTGTCTTCTCCGGGACTGATACCCAGGTCACCTTCCTCAGGTGGTTCGGTCCACCCCAGGTTCTGCTGCCGTACAGAATACGAACCTCCTTCTCTTGCCAATACGGCTCTATCCACCTAACTTTCAAGGTCTCCTGGAAGCTTGCTATCTCTCCTGCCTCTTCAAGTCCCCAGAACAACGTGGAGGCCAGAGTTACTATCAATGGGGAAGAGCAAAAGACCTGCCGCTTACTTTGCACCTATACCTTACCATGTATGCAGTGTCTATAATGTATGCGCAGTATTTGCAATTTGTTCACCTGCCTCTAATCTTGCCTCTCCATGGTGGACACTGTTGCCAAGTGCAAGTCACACAGAGGATACTGAAATGAGAAGGAGGATAAAGCTAAGAGAACTACAGAGAAGCAGCCCCACACGAACTACATGTGAAGCCTCTCTTCTATAAAGCTTCCAGGATGTTAGCCAATAAATCCCCTCTAATACTGAACCATGCTACGCTGGGTTTTCGGGTACAGTCCAAGGCACCCTTGAACCAGGCTTAGGAAAGTACTTGCCACACGTAATAATTACTATTGTTATATACTGGTAAATACCTGCTGCATTAAACTCCACGGTGGACGTATTCTGGGAAATCAGCAGCTGGAAGCCTAAACCGTGAGGTCTTGGGCGAGAGCTGGGTTGAGACAGAGTTAGAACCTGAGGCTGCTCCAGTGCCCTGGCATTTGTGCTTGTGCCCGGTGTCTGGGCGCCAGATGAGTCCTTCATGAACAGACATGGCTTCTCCACAGGGCTGCTCTGAGGAGGCCAAATACCTGGGCTTAAATTCAGGGCTCTTCACCTCTGACCAAAGCTTGGCTCCTCTGGTAACCATGCGTGTGTCTCTGGGGAAGTCACATAACCATTCTGCAGCCTACCTGTCTCATGAAAACAAACGTGTAAACCAATCCCAAAACGGCTGCCTTCCTGTCTTATCTCAGGGCTTAGTTGTGGCAGTGGATATGACAGTATGTGTATGATCATCAAACTTTGCAGAAATAATGACACACTCAGGCACGCATTCCTTTGATGGCCCTCATCATCCCCAGGGGGTCTGCCTAGCTTTCAAGGCTTCCCAGACTGCACAGTGCCTCACCCAGGACACGGTGCAAGGACCACGTCTCTTGGCTCCTCCACACTCCACTGCCACACGCCCTGCCCCATCTAGAAGCAGAACCTGGACTCCTGAGCCGATGCAAGATCGAGGGCCAGTCAGCTCAGGGGGCAGGCAGGGATGTGTGTCACCCACCGAACATCATTCCACTGATTTAAAAGACCATTAACACCACCACCCCCAACTCCACTCACTTGAGGATTAACTTATACTTAGGGTTTGGTCTTCACGGCTAGTCACTAATTGCACTAGAGTTGATTTATCAAGTGCATGGTATTTCTATTATAAAATTATTGATTAGAGCTGATGTATTTTTATCCTCAACAGGGTTGGTCTGAAAGCTCTTGGAAAATGAATGAAGCTGAGGTCAGCAGCAGCAGGCAGCTGTGCACATCAGTATAAATTCACTGGGGTTACTGAAATCCAGGGCTGGACTCCGTGGTGAAAGTCCCAAATCTTTCGGAAGTGAAAATTTTAACGACAAATTGGGAAATAAGGTGTCCACCTCTAGAACACAGACCGTGGATAGAAAGATGTCCACTCAGGTAAGATCCTTTAGGTGAGTCTGGCTGGTTATCCTAACAGATCACAGATCTGTTCTCTCTTAGGGCCACTGTACAGGTTCTATTCCATAGCCACATATGTGGCTCTATCCAAGCTAGAGGGTATCTCCATGACCTTACCCCACAGCTGGGCCATCTTGGAGTCGTGGTCCCCAGAGGATGCTTGCTGCTAGCACAGAGAGGCCGGGTGGGGAAGCAGAGATACCTGAACTGCGTCCTTGCCCTCTACCTCTCATTGGATCTTGCTATAAAGGCACGGGGAAGCCAGCCTTGGAGACGAAGACATACAGTGACCCATTTCCTTTTTAAAGGAAGCCGCCAGTGGTCACTGAGACAGTCGGGAACCACCTGTGGTGGGGTACTGGTGGGAAAAAAGGCTGGGATGACAAAATAAGCCCCGAGGCACAATATACTATTAGCCTTTGGAACACGGCATGTTTCCATAGACCTGTCATGAGGCTCTGCTAAAAGTGTAAGAGCAGACTGTGTTTGCATAAAATGACAAATTATTACCCAAAACCCTAAGCTGTAGCTATACTTGCTCTTGCACAACTTGAAATCATTAATTTTGGAGGCCATACAGCTGAACAATATGTTACGCATTTCCCACTAGCTTTGCTGGAGACAGCACCTCTGATGTGGGGGTTGTGACACATTTCCTGGGTAACTTCTCAAAGACCTGAACGCTACTTTTGTTAGGACCACTGATTCTTCACCTGGGCCTCCAGTGTCTGTCGGGTGACTGAAGTGGAGTGAAAGGCTTGGCTTCTGCATCTTCATACTCTGTTCCCTTTTCTGTCTTAACCCTTGAGTCAGATTCTACTCAACTCTGCACGTAGACATGTTGATAGTTTTAAAAAATGTTTTTGTCCAAGACTATCATGCAGGGTTGACTCGGCCCTATTGCCTGTTGGAGCCGGTATGTGCTTCTTCTAGCTCACCCCTGTGCTTTTTTTAGCAGCAGAAGCACTAAAAGTCCTTCAGTCCTATCATCAAGCCGGGACATTTATGCAAGATGATGACAACAGCTGTCAGAGGAGCCCAGCCGTTCCTGAGGGAAGCTGACCACCTGTTAGCCCACTAAGTACGAGGCCAGGACATTTTGTGCAGGATGATGGTGCCAGATACACAACACCCTCGAGGACAAATTGACCATGACCACCAGGTAGTGCAAATTCATCACAAATCAGAGCATCTTCTGAAACCGTACTGTGGTTAATGGAAATTACCAGACTTTAGTCCACCCAGACAAATCAATAAAAACCAGTTGCTCTTTTTGTTCTGGGGGCAGCAGCATGACCACATTCTCGACAACTACTTGCTCCCTTCAGCCAAAGCCCCAATTTGGCTGAAGCTTCCTTTCCTACCAATAAGCCTTTGCTTCTGAGGTATTGTGTATGTGTGCCACATCTGGCCCAGTCTCGTTTCTACCTTCCTTGGGTCAAAGATCCCATCACCCAGTATCCATTGACATGGGTGTCAACCAGATACATGACCATGTATCATGAGAAATACGGACTTTCAGGACACAGGAAGAGATTTCCTGACCCCTGGAGGCAAGGGAGTTATCTGCATCCATGTTGCTTGGTACCTGGAATAGCACACCCTCAATAAATGCTGCTGAAAGTAACTCCTGGGAGCCCTAACACTTGGCTACAGCAGACCAAGATGGCTGCAGCTCCCTCCAGGAGTGTGTGCACAGGCGGGGGCACTCTTGCTTGTCCCTCAGCCCCACCATAACATGAAAGGCAAAGATGGAAGTGGGGGACCCACAGATATCTTGAAAGGGCTGGAACACCATGTGTGCTTCTTGAGGCCTGTTCTTCCCAGGGCATTTTCTCTCCAGGTTCAAGTGCAGCTGTCCTGTTCCCTCACTTACATGTTACTTCTGCCCCTTTTAGCCACTGGACTGGAGTGCTGAGGACTTCCAGCCACAGGGCAGCGAAGCCTTTTTCCCAGTAGAGCCATGCCTAGGATATAGGCCAGGGGGAGGGGTCTTCTGCTCCCTCTGCCTTGTGTCCCTACCCTCCTCTCTCTCACGTAGCAGCCATAAGCCTGTCAGTCCCAGCGCACTCCCTCTGCCTACTCCCCAACTCCATTCCCTGGAAGCTCAAAGCAGAAGGACGGCTCCTCCCAGACTTCTCTGCCTGGGCCGTGGTGCCCTCATTCTGTCTGGTGGCAGGCTGGGCTGGCACGCATTTAGTCCCTGTGTATTCTGACTTTGCCAGAGCACTGTGGCTTTCTCTGTGAAACTAACATTTCGGAGTCTGTGACTTCTTTAACTCTTTCTCCCACTAAATAGGTAGCGTGCATGCTAATGGTTCAGATCCTGCCTATTTCCCCCTGCAGTGCTGGGTCACAGCCACCGATAACCATGACTGAAAAAGCAGGTTCCAGAAAGCAAGTACTACTTCCCTTGACACCAACTTGCAAAGATTAGGGACATCTCCAAAGCTCTAAGAGGCCCCTGGCACTCCTTCTGGCTTGTCATCACAAGTGCAGGGAAGACAGTGTGCTCAAAGATGGCTGACTGTGTGTGCCCGAGTGGGGGGCAAAAGTTGAAGAATGGTCCCAACCCTTCTGGGAAGCCTTCCTATGGAAACAGAAGGCAACTGGTGCCCTCATTTCTTGATATTCCAAGCCTACCTCCCCTTCTCTCCCCATGAAGCTGGGCCAGCTGTCTCTGCCCCAGGATATTATCACTCCCTGGATACTTTTACCTTCACCAACCATAAAGACCAAGGCCAACATTCACCAGTGTCAAGTGCATCCCTGTCTGTAGGGTCTGAAGCCACCCTCTCCTTCCCGTGTCCACTTCCCTCTACCCAAAGAGCAGGCGTACAGACACGGCTTCCCCACGGACCCATGTCCCTGAAGGGCTGGGTGTGGCTGCCAAAGGACTCAAGGAGTACAAGGACTTTGAGGAGCCTGGCTGGTGGCCTTAAGAAGTAAGAAAAGATCTGCTGCTCTGTTCAAGAACAGTGTGAGAAGATAAGAACAGGGAAGAACTCTAACACTCCTTCCAACCCTGGTTCCATTCTTTCACTAAAGTTGAACACAGAGATCTCAGTCGGGAAGGCTAGAGCTGAGGGTGGTGACCCAGTTCTGGACTGGGGGAGTGAGGAGCGTGAGGGGAGGTGGTGGTGGCTGATGGCGAGGACATGGATCCAAGGCCCTTGGCAACATTGAAAACATGGAGCCCCTTCTCTGCCTGGCCCCCATGCTATCCTTCGAACGGCTGTGCTGTGCCGAGCCTTTGGAGACCCTGTAATATCAACTCAACAATGCATGTTCTACAACTACGGCTACAGCTACCAGTACATCTACTACAGGGCATGCATTTAGTTCAGTCCCACAGATACATACAATCTAAGAACAGGCAGGGAGGTGTGAAATGTTTTACTGGACAACAGGTGTTTTGGAGTTGTAACTAATAAAAAAAAAATCGAAAACGAAAGTGTACAAAAAAAGACATTTCTTGAGAGTTGGATATGAGTTTGTTTCTTGAACTGTTTCATCTGAACAAGCAAAAACATGCAAACCAGCTGGTACTAACAGGAAGCTGGACACCGAGAGAGGATTAATAGGTGTGGACAAACCTTCCCGCTGAGCGTGCTCAGAAGAGTGTTTGAGAGGAGGTGTGCAGATCCTAGTGTAAGAGAGGCGGGAAAGTATGCCTCAGAGACACTCTCTCACCGCAGCCCCAACCAAGCAAGAGAAAAGACAACAGAAACATGACTGCTCACACTCACCACCACCATCAGGAGCTCATGTAACTAGATTGGAATAAAGCTGGCAAGTATAAAGTACAGTAAGGGGTCCTGGCTGGGGCCGGAGACGGGCTGGGGGAGGGGTGGGGTACGCCAGGGGGGCTCAGCAATTCTAAGAGTGATCCAAGGACCCACCCATAATGTCACCCGCAAATAAGGTAGCCCCGAAAATCTGAACCATTGCCCTCCCACTGGAGGGATTTGTTTGCTAAACTAGACTTAGGTTTGGGTAGGACATGATGGGGCCACTGGAACTGAATGAATACGATCAAAATAAACAAACGAACTCTTGACTGAGCACAAGAAAAGATGATATTTCAAACTGCCAGGTGAAGATAAAAGAAAAGTGACCACTGATAGTGAAGTTATCTAGGAGTCGGCAGGGACCTCACCTGGGAGACCCTTGAGCCCTGCTCGCCTCAGTTCCTGGGGAAATTGTTCCTGGGGACATTGGGGAAAGGTGGATGGGCTGGCCCGGAGGAATGGGCTGAGTTGGGTGCAGAACTCAAGACCCCCTTCGGACCTCCTACCCTGACACCAAAGCCCTGACAGATGCAAGCTTCCAACCTGAGCCCAAATGAAGCTGCCTCCCATCCCCCAGCACTCAGTGGTACTTCTTACTCAGGAAGGGCTCCCAGAAAATCATCATGGAAGGAGGGTGGGCAAAACCAAAATGGAGCTGGGCAAAAATAAAAGACAAAAAAAGGCTTTCCAGAGGATGCCTGATCCCTAAACCAAGCCCAAGAGCCTCTGGGGAGCGGAGGTCAGAGCTCCTACCAGGTGGAGTCAGCTGCTAGGCGCCACGCTCCAGGTGGGTATTCAGTGGCTTCTCCTTGAATAGGTACTGAGCTGTGACGACCTCTCATAGCTAGGCTGCTTGCTTAGGAGGCTGAAGGGGCATCCCCGACCCCTGGGGAGGAGCTGGGCTGTGTGGGGCAGGGTTGAAGGAGCTGGTATGGGTAGGCCTGGGTCATCAGTGCCCCCATGAGCCCTTCAAGGGCCTGGACTAATACACATAGCCCAAAGAATCTGTGCTACCCTCCTCAGCTCATAGCAAAGAGCTTTTGCCAGTGAAGGGCCCTCAAAGATAAAACAACAGACCAACCTGCCTGCCTTGGAAGCCCAGTCCTTTTCTAGAGGGGAGAAGGTGGCAATCCCCCTGCCAATCAAAGTGCATCAAAAGAGAGGCTGAGACCTTCCACTCCCAACTCTGTAACCCTGCCTGCACTCAAGCAGGCCAGGTCACGTTCTGACTATGGTAGGCATGGTTCTGGGGCACACCCCAGGCCCATGACCCTCAGGCAGTGCTGGGGGGGCTTCCCTGTAGCTTGCTGGGTTGAGCCTCCCCTGGGGGCTGGGCACCTCAAGTTGAGGATTTACTCCTTGCACTAACCCAGGCTGGGGGGGGGGGCAGGGCAGGGGGCCTGGGAGCACACTCCTGAATACGATTCACTAACAGTGCAGAGATGAGCATGACGGATCTTGAATGGCCTGTGGGAGGTTGCACTCCCAATGGAAATGGCTACAAATAAAACACCACTGACCCTGGAAAAAAAATGTGTGGTTGGAGATGACCTTGAGGGTTAGGAGTTAGAGGGTGGGTGGGACTCCCGCCTGGCTCTGGGGGGGCGGGTCTGTGAGAGGGTGGGGGTGGCAGAAGGGGTCACAGATTGTGGGAAGACCGCTCTCAGGCTCGCAAAGAACCCCATGCTGCCCTTTAAACTTGCCATGAAGTCGAGGGGATCGGGGTGGGGTGGGGAGAGAGGCAGGGTTAATTTCAGGTTAAAGTTTAGTTTCATAATTCAAGTTATAAAAAGAAAAAAAAGTGAACGGAGAAAACAACAACCAACAACACTCGAAAACCTCCAGATCGTTCTTTTTATCTTTCCCCTATCCCAGGCACTGGTAGGGTTGAGGCTTTTTTTTTTTTTTTTTTTTTTAAATGATAACAAAAGCACTCAAGTTAAAAAACCAAGCAGAACAGGGACACACGATTCAGCTGTGTACCCTGCCCCCAGGGCCCAAGGTAGGGTGACCAAGGGACACTGGCCAGAGGGCAGGTGGGGCCTTTGGCAACTGGCTAGGGCGGATGGTGCCCAGCCCTCTGGGACTGCCTGCCGTTTGCCACTCGCCAGCTATCTGGCAAACTGCCCCTCAGTAGCCCCCTGGGAGTCTGCAGGCCCCTCCAAACAAAACCCCAGTGGATGATTCTGGGGAGTGGATCCTTTGTAGCTCCGAGGCAGTGCCAGTTTGCATGGAACGGAGTTTTACTGACGTTTTCTAATGGGCCTCACAGTGCTGAGGGTTTGGGTCTTTGGCATTTCTCCTCTGGGTTTTTAACGTGACCTTTCCTCTTACCTCACCAGCACTCCTGCCCCGTCCCCACCCTCTTCCCCAGAGACCTGTTACAGGAAATGAAAGCGCTTCCTGGGTGCTCCAGCACTCTGCCCCTGGGGGAGGGCTGGGGAGAGAGCTGCAAACCTTGGCTATTCAATTTAGGGAGGAGGGAGCAGAACAGTGGCTCTAGGGGAGCTCAGCGCAGGGCTGAGGCCTAGTGCCCAGGTAGGCCCACGGTATTTGAGGGGTGCATCCCAGCACAGCTGGGGAAGGGGCCCATGTCGCTTGGACAGTTCCAGGCCTCTTAAAAGGTTGGATTTGGAAAGCGAAGGACTGGGGGACCCTCATGAAAGACAAGGCCCTGTTCCCTTGGCGGCTGGAGCCCACTTGGCTAAGAACGTCTGAGGCAGGCAGCAAGGACTCCAGGAAACCGTAGTTTCCCTCCTTCCCTGGGCTCAAGGGCTCACTCTGCATCTGGCCTTCAAGGGCTCTGGGGGCTCAGCGGGCCACCTGAGTCCCTCTC